CGCGCCCGCACTGAGCCACCTCTGCGGCGCGATAGCAGGCCGAGCGGAGCTCACGGATGGAACAGGCAGCCGCGGAGCCGAGAAGACAGACCTTGCGGATCCCGTCCGGCTCAGAGGATGCGCGAGGGGACCCGCGAGCCTCGGCGGATCTGGAGTGGCCAAACCTGGCTCCCTCCCGGGGTAAGTGGCTCCCAGGGCGAGGGGAACCCAGGTCCAGGGCGCTTGGTTTTCCTACTTTTCTCCAACCACGTTTTCACCGGTGGCTGGATGTGCAGGTTGCAGACAGATCGATTTCGAGCCCCAGAGAGGTATGAAGGCACTTAGAAGCTAACCGACGTATTTTAGAGACCAACCCAAGAGAACCCAGTGCTGGTTTTTTGTGCTTCTCTGCTACTTCCAAAATCAGGGTCTCTGGGGTTTTCCAATTCGGAACTCACAGGAGCGCGGTGTCCGGGAGCGCAGGGCGGCGACTGAGTCCACGGCTCAGCGAGGGTCCACGCAGCGCGTGCTGCCGAGGCGAGGTGGTTTTTTCCCGTTGGACCTGTGTCATTTGCATTGTCCTGTCCGCTGTGACGCGTGCTTCCAACACCCGGCCAGGCGTGGTGCCGAGGAACCAGTCGGGAGTAACCAGAGCAAGAACGGCGGGTGGCGGCGAGTAGACGCTGCTGGGAACCACTGTGGGGAGCAATCGTCAAAAGGCTAAGTGGTGTGCGTGACGAGGTGGCCGAGAGGTTAAGGCGATGGACTGCTAATCCATTGTGCTCTGCACGCGTGGGTTCGAATCCCACCCTCGTCGTCACTCAGGTTTTTTTTTTTTACCCCTCTGTGTTGCGGTCAGGCAGGCAGACCCTTCCCTACCAGGGGTTGACTCGAGGGTCTGGGATCTCCTTTTCCCCAGGTGGGAGCCCTCTAGCCCATAAAATCCTTCGTTTTATTTATGTGTTGTGTACCATTTATTGATTTGCATAGATTTTAAAGTCTGTTTTCATTTTCTCAGGAGACTGTCTACCATTAGTTTCCCAGGCCTCTGGTCTAGATATGTCTTCTCTAGGCAGCTGACCATATCCTCCAGTCCTGAGTTGGACCTCTTCTTTGAGGATAGTTTTAAAGAAACATTGTATGGAGTGGAGTTAAACAGGCAGGGAAAGCTTTATTCAAGGCTATTGCAACTAGGAAGAGAGAGGCTGGACTCAAATCCAAAGGCAACAGGAGCAGCTGGGAGTTTCTAGCTAATGGGTAGGGTAAGAAGTCCTTGGATGGAGAATTATTAAGGCATCAAGGATATCAAGGAGGGGAATCCAGATTCTTGCTAAAACAGGGCTGGATGGACCAAGGGTGGGAACTAGTCGAGAGGAATCTGGGGCCTGAGGAATTTTGGTCAAGGATGGAGTCCTTGAATCCCACAGTCCAGGAACCCCTGGGCTTCCTGAGGGTTTGGGTTCCAGGAGATGCAGCTCAGGTATCCCCAGACTGCCCCTTCCTCCATGGCAGCTGGCCCTGGGCAGCCAGGTTACCCACTCAGTCAGGCTTTAATGTGACCTAAATTGGGAGGTTTGTCTGAAATCCAAGCTTTTGGCTTTGATCAAAGACAAGTGCATGTCTGACAGTGGATATGATTGTAGTGTGCACACCATTAAATTTGCCTTTATCTTTGAGAATGGGCCCTACCCTCTGTCACTTCAAAAGCTCCAGGAAGATGGCCGGGACTTTGGGATGTATGAGAAACTGGTCACAGCTGGATGCAGTAGTGCCTGGAGGAAGGCCAGGTTATAAGCACTCCACACAGGTAAGGGACTGGTCTGGCTGCTCAGGAAGGGGGAGTACTGCAGATGACACTTCATCACAGGAGCAGCAGGAAAGTGGAAAGAAGGCAGGGCCCCATCTGCTGGGTCAGTATGGCCAAGAAAGGATTTCCCTGCACCATTAAATCAGGACCATCATGACCACATACACACAGTATTAAGAGCTCACTATTGGAATCCAAAGGCTGTTTCAAAAGCTTGGTAAACCTAACTCGGTGCAGCTCTCTTTGTAACCAGAGGTAATTCATAATGTGAGCTAATGAAATATTTATGGTTTAATGGGTTTCAACTTGATGAGAGCAGAACTCGATTAGAAGGAAATCTGAAAGTTGCCACTAGGTTCACAGGAGAAATTTGTACACTACAGGGGTACTTCCTTGTTCCTTTCCTGCTGGATTTCCCCCTCTAATTTAAACTCTGGGGTCCTTTCTTACCTCTGCCCTCACAAGCCAGTGGTCAGAGGTCACCACTGACTGGAGGAACGAGTTTTGTCAGGTGCTCTAAAGTGTACTCTTCCAAGAGGTCCCACCAAGATTTGGACTCAGATTGCTGGATTCAAAGTCCAGAGTGCTAACCATTACACCATGGAACCAGTGACATAAGGGCAATGAAGATAAATAACTGTGTTGAGATACAAACTGGACAACAGTTCTAGTAGGGAGCTTGGTCTGGCCTCAGGCGGCTGCAGAGCCCAACTTGCAGAATATAACTCAGCCACCAGGGTTCATCTCTAGGGCCCCACAAATTCTGGTTTTGTGGAGACTGAAGCTTGCCCAATTTAGCAGCCTTTTTAAAATAAAGAAAGAGATGTTATAAAACACTCGAAGGCCCGTCTGATGTATGTGAGGATAACACTGGAGTACAGAGAGGCAGCTATATCAACTAATTTCCAATATATAAAAAAATTCCCATTTTATATATATATATATATATATATATATATATATATATATATACACAAAAAAAATGGTTTTCTTATTTTATATATATATATATATATATATATATATATACATATACATACACAAAGTTTGCAAATTCTACAAATACTTTTTATAAAGAGCAACACCTTCCAAAGGCATGTAAAGGGCCATACAAGTGAGGATACTGACACAGTGAGATTCATGATAAATACTACTCTGGGTACTTTGGCAATATGATCTCTACCTCAACGGTTTTTCTAAAAAAAAAAAGCCATCCTATAGAAATGAAAAAATAAAATATATGTCTAAGAATGCTCATTTTAATATTTGCACTATCAGAAGTTTGGAAACGTGCCAGGGTACTTAACTGAGGTGCTGTATAGCCACTAAAAAGAAAAGGTAGACCTAGGTGTTCACATGTTGACTCGATAGTCCTGGGAAGGATTTAAAACAACGCGGTCATCTGCTGAACAGTAAGGCGTATCACACTTGTAAATCATGACTTGTGAGCTTATGCATTCATTTTTAAATACAGTGGAGAAATACATACCAAACAGCATAAATGTCTACAAGAATTTAAGAATTGCCTGTTGGTTTGGGGAAAGTGCCTGATAGTGGCTGGGAGAGTGAGACTGTCACATAACAAAAAAGTTAAATGTTCAACTTCATTGGGTGTAGCAGTTCACTGAAGGCCATTCACAAACCCCTGGGTAAGAAATGTTTACACACTTGGGAGAAGTGTTCTCATGACTTAAAGCTTCTCAGAAAGGAAAAGTTAAAATGCGAGTTATCCGTACAGAGACCGAAAAAGGACAGGGAACAGGGAACGGACCCTTTCAAAAATACGCCTAGGGCATGCTAATTTAAAAGGGTTTTATTAGTACACGTTTGCAGCAGATAACGGCAATCACCTTCATGGCGTCCCGCGCTCGCGGCCCCGGAGCGGCTACAGCAGGCTGGGCTGCGGCGGGCGGGCAGGTGTACGCACACCCCAACGGCCCGCACCTCGCACGCCAGTTTCCTGCTCGCCTCGCGCCTGCGCACACTACGGCGAGATGCAGGCGCTGAGGCGCCCGGATGCCGCGTCTCCTGCGGCTGCCCCCCCCCCCACCGCCAGGGTCCGGGCACCGGGAAAGCATTCTCTCAGGCTTTTTCCAGAAAGGAGGTACGGGGACGGAGGCGCGCGGAGATGGGCTGCTGTTCCGCGTTTGTGCTCTGTCTCTGGTGGCTCATCGCGAGGGCAGGAATACCCAGAGCAGCAGTTTCCGCCACCGCGGGCACCGTGACTTCGGCGCTCGGATTCCACCTGCGCGCTCGCTTCCCAGTTGCCTCCGC